AATTGGTTATCTCCCTATATATATGATAGATTTCAATTATTTCAATTACATATCATAAAACATGATAATTAGACATGTATCAATTAGTGGAATTAAGTCATATAAGATATTCACCCTTCAATAACCGATATTGTCATTTTCACACAAGTAGACTTACTACAGTCTGAATATGGATCCAATAATAATTATTTCAATTATATATGATTATATTTGATATTTACTACAATATAAACAAGTTTAATAAATTGGTATAGTGTTTCCATAGTATGGCTCAATATCTTGGTCAATTAAGGTAGAATGAGTACATTATAATAAGGATATTATATATTATACTTCCAACACTTCTACAAGGTAGATATCATCATTATACATCATATATATGAGATTGGTGATGATTCTAATAACATTCGTGTTATAGTACAGTAAATGTTGAAAAGTTAGTTTTAAGACAAGTTGTAATTTATTTAATACACTGATTCAATATGATTAATTGATAATATCATCTATTCATCTATATATCTACAATATATAAAAAGTTACATTCCAACCCAACTTTGAAATTTTAGACCTACTAGGGTAAAAACCTTAATATTTTAGGCAATGCCTTATAACTTTTTGGCCTCCAACTATGTTTTAATTTTTACACCGGATTTAGTCAACTCATATATTGATCTATTGATTATGTGTAGTTGGTATTTCAGATATTCCTAGTTATTGAGATATGCGAAGAAAACCTAACTTTTTTTTCATCGAGTACCTATTATCTCTAGAACCACTTTGAGTTTTTATTAGCATATAACAGTTTGTCGATGAAATTGTACGCTGATTAACATATATAAGATCCAAGTTTTAAATATTGGCCATTAATAAAATGGTAATGGGTTTTCGCCATACCCAAACCCAAACCCAACCACTCTACATACCATGATATCAATTTCATAAATATTGGTTCAGTAGATGTCGAGTTGTCAACTCTATCATTTTACTATAGAACTTTGACATAAAATCAAAGCTTATGCTCCAACTCGCTCATTATACATACAATCAATCTAGAATTGATGCCACATAGAGTGTACATCCGTTAAATACAATATATATAGTTTGGAAACAATTCGTATTACTTTCAATTAGTCAGTCAGTTAATGTTCAATGTCAATAGTGCTTTTATCCAAGTGTACACTCCATATCAGTGAAAGTACGTCCAATCATCATGTAACTTTGCCAGATACATTTAATCACATTATTATACATATGGTATCAGTTTTAGTCTGTTAGAATTGAATTCAATATGATAATAATAACAATCTGTCAAATTGTCACATTTCAATATATAGAATATACTCCATCTCATTTATTTT